AAATTGCTCCTCCTGGGTGTATTGGAAAATAACTGTCAGAATGTGAGCTGAGCAGTAAAAGTCTTTTATTATAGGTAACTAATGCTGGTGGGGCAAAACCTGGATTGGAATCGAGGGCTGGTAAGATTAAAATGTAATTGTAAGAGATATGATGGCTTTGCTCTGTTATTTAGTGTGTTTAATGAACAAGTTTCAATGTGTTTGCCTTCCTGTGCTTTCTGTAGTTCCTGCTATGGTTAGGTGTTGAGTTTTTCTGCTCCTCCTGTTGTCAGTCCCCCAAGGGGAAGGAGTACAAGACATGGGAGTATAAAATCCAGTTTCCCTGCTGGAAGTTGGGAAAGGTGTTTTTTGCCTGGTTGCCCAAGAGTTTGTGTCACTGTGGCTACCAGCATCCTCATCCCCCGAGAGGGCTGCCAAACCTCATGTAAACTCTACAGAGATGAGAGGCTTCCTTGAGCTCAAGATTTTTTGCAGATTTAATGAAGATGAGTGTCTAGGCAGTAGGACAGGCCCAAGTTGGGCACTCACCAACTGTATGAAATTTAACAAGAGGAAGTGCCAGATTCTGCACCTGGGGTGGAATAATCCTGGTTATACATACAAACTGGGGGATGAGAGGCTGAAGAGCAGCCCTGTGGAAAGAGACCTGGGAATTTGGGTTGATGGCAAGTTGAACATGAGTTAACAGTGTACCCTGACAGCCAGAAGGGCCAATTGTGTTCTGGGGTGCATCAAGCACAGCATAGCTAGCCAGTTAAGGGAGGTGATTGTCCCACCCTCGCTGGACTGGTGTGTCACCACCTCAAGTACTGTGTGTAGTTTTGGGCAACTCAATATAAGGACATCAAGAGGTTGGATATGGATGATCTTAAGGGTCTTTTCCAGCCTAAATGCTTCTGTGAAACTATTAGAGTGTGTCCAGAGGAGGGTGACCAACAGGGCAAGACTTAACAGGAGCAGCTGAAAGCACTTAGTTTGTTCAGGTTGGAGAAGAGAAGGCTGAGGGGTGACCTCATTGCCATCTACAGCTTCCTCGAGGGGAGCAGTGGAGAGGGAGGTGCTGATCTCTCTCTTGTGACCAGCGACAGGACAAGAGCACATGGAATGAAGCTGCATCAGGGGAAGTTCGGATCAGACATTAGGAAAAGGTTCTTCACTGAGAGAGTGGTTGGTCACTGGAACAGGCTCCCCAAGGAAGTGGTCACAGCACCAAGCCTGTCTTGAGTTCAGGAAGCATCTGGATGATGCTCTTAGTCATATTTTTAGGTAGTCCTGTGAGGAGCAGGGAGTTGGCTTGATGATCCTTACGGGTCCCTTCCAAAATATTCTCTGTTTCTATGATTGTAAGTTAGTCAGCCACTGACAGCTGCAGCATGTAGAGGTGCACAGGGCACTGGGGATTAAAGGGAGGGAAGGAGGAGAGCACCAGCATTTTTAGGAAAACAAAATTCAAGCAGTCAGAAAGTTATGTTTTTGGTGATTCATCACAAGTCTCCTTTCTTGGTGTGTCACCGTACATGTGACTAATGGAGGAAGTTTCCAAAGCTCATGTCGGCTTCTGCAGTGGAATGTAAATATGACTAATCTAATACCGTAGCAGTAAGTATCTGAGAGTGATGATGGGTCTTTGCAAAGGGCTCCTATTTGCATAGCTACTTGGCTCTCTTGAATACCCTCTAGCTCATCAGCTTTTCAAAAGCTTGTTTGCTCTTTTGTTTTACCTGCTGTTTTCCCCCCACCTGGTGCAAATATGCAGGTTACTGGGGACAGCCTGCTGAAGAACTGTCTCTTGAGGTCCTGGTATTTGAGCTACGAACATGGAAGGAAAATAGTGTAGATACATCTGAAACATTCTTGAATCTGCTCTTGCCCCTAGGAGCTAGAAATACCTGCTGTGTTGTGCTTTATACACAATATAGTATCTGCTTTATTTGCAGCTATTTTTGCTTAGACAAAGAAAATGCTCTTAAGCTCAGTTATTCTGAGCGCTCCTTAAACCTGTAGGGAGCACAGCATATTCTTACTGACTTCTTCTTCTTGGATCCTGCTACTATCTTTATTCTAGTTTCTGTAACTTTATCTCTGTTTTCTGATTGTTTCTTCCCTGGAACCATCTGAATCCCTGGTTCTGAGCCTCTCCTTTCAGTCTAAGTAATTGAAGTTCTAGTTTAGTTGGACCCATCCATACTAAATGCTGCGGGAGTACAGTTGTAAAAGGAAGTGCTTTAAAGACATATGAAGGTTTGTGATGAACAGTGGAGAAACAACCAGTCATTGCTGGGAAAGGAGACTGCCAGCACTTCAGAGTGCAGATTATTGTAATGAGTTTCATAAGCTAGGTTTTGACATTTTCTGCTGACATTATTGAGATAAAGTAATGTATTTGAAGACCCTGACATCTTGCTGCATGCTTGGATAACAGAACGGTAGTTGCAGAATATTGAATAATTCCAGTCAATGTAGAATGATCTTTTTCTTTTATTAACTCTCAGATTTGTTTATTGCTCTCTCAAAGCACGTCTTATGTGAGATTGGCAGTCAGCAGTCTCATCCTAAATTATTTCTTTGTGAAGATGATGTGTGAAAACAATCCCTTAAAATAACAATGTCACTGAATGCACACTCTTTTACACTGGTTTGCTACTCTTGAGGGAAACCACTGCAGCTGGAACCATTCAGAGTTCTTGGACTAAGGTTCATGGTGGCAGTGGGAGACTCTTCAAATAGCTTCTTTTCTGCTCCAGGTAAAATTTCAGCTGCACCAAAGCATAATGTTGAGTATATGTGCTTGCTTTTCCCTCTGCCACTCCTAAAAAGAAATAATGCTCTTGAAACACACCTGGTAATGTAACATTCATTGACTTAGTGATGTATCTTTAACCTTGAGAGAGATGGTGGTGGTCTATCCTCTGGTTGTTACTCTCGTAGAGTGTTTTGAGGAACCTGCATCTTCAAGAGATCCTTCTGCCTGCCTTTTTAGAGTTAGACTAGCAAATACCTGAGCAGGTCCTGTTTTAGGCATTCCTCCTTGGAGGACTGTAGCTTGAGAGATGTATGTACTTGACAAAACAAACAAACCATAATTCAAGTTTGAGGAACAACTATGCAAATACCTGTTTAAATTTCTCTTGAGTGCTTTGACCTTTTTTTGCCTGTTAACATGGAGGTTTTCTTGGTTCAGTCTAAACCAAGGGTCAATTTCAGAGGTAAATGAAATTTGGGTCTTAGCAACTGCTCATTTTCTGAAATGTTAAAGATTGTATTGCTAGATAATGTAGGCTTCAGATAAACAACCCAGAAATATTTTGCGTTCTGTGAAAGAGTTTTTCATGAACTAAGTATCTAAAAGAGCTTATGGTCTCCACCTGGAATGCAGAACACCAAGTAAAATATCTTCTTGCTTTCTATCCAAGATCTATACCTAACGACTTTATCCAGGAGGTTCTTAATGCCCTTTGCTCCTGCACCACAATAAAGCCATAAATTCCTTCTCTTTCCATGAAGGAGCCCATCACTGACCAGGCAGTGCTACCTTCCTACTTGGCTGTGAGCCAGGTGGTACTCGGTTCAAATGTTATAGTACGGGAATCGCTGCTTAAACTTCAGATTTCAGTTTCTGCTGTAGCAGTTCGGTTGGCCAAACTGAAGACTAGCTTGAAGGTTGTTTTCAGGAAACTGCAAGCTTGCCTTTGATTTTTTTATTCCAATTGTCATTCCCTGCTTACATATTAAAACAAAACAACAACAAAAAAAGAAAATGTATCTTTGTCTCATTTCTTCTCTGGAAAAAAAAAAAAGGCATTATTAGTGCAGTTATCTGTGAAGGAAAAGAGATTTCAGTTTTGACTTCAGTTGACATGAAAGATGTCACCAAGTATATAAGCATCTGTCATTCCTGGTACTAGACTCGTGACTTGTCCTTATCTTAACTTGGCCTGTCATGTAAACAGAAGGAATATTCTGCTTGTGGTTTGATTTTTGATATTTGATTTTTATTCATCTCTTCAGACTTTGCAGTACCCAGTTCTGATTCCTCTTCTGCAGCTACGTTCTTAGTGGAAAAGTCACACACATCAGTGCTTTATGCATGTATTTTCTGAATTAAGGTAGCTCTGTCAGGAATTAAGTTTTGCTCCGGCTGTCTTGATACTCATTAGGTAGAAAAAGTCTTCCAGCTTCTTTGGTGCTGGAGCAGTACAGTAGGATGTCTTTTTCTTGAATATCTGGTATCTACTTTCATGCCTTTTTCCATCAGTCAGTGAAAGTAGGACTGTCGCAACTGTCCTAATACAGCAAGAAAGAATGTTATTTTCCTATGACCTGAAAATTAGACTTAATCTACCTGGAGTGGAGAGCCCATAGTGATGACAGCTGCATTTAGCTGTCTTTTCAGAAGTTGAAGAGATTGGTCAAGATCATCTGTGCTAATAACTTAACCACGTTCATACTGTTAACCTTTGTTAGAGGAAAAGATAAATCTTATAAACCCATGAAAATTAATTTTTAATGCCAAGGTATGTAATCCATTACCCGATCATATAACTTTTCATACAGGCCTTTGTGCTCCAAGGCTCTTCTTCACACTTGAGTCTTGTGAATTGGAGCTGTGCCCCTGCCCATTTTGTGGTTCAGTAAAAAGAAGGGTGGGAAAGAATATGCTGTGGGTGGCACTAAGAAAGCATGCAATAGCAGTGGCAAGAATAAAGGATTAAGTGCATTATATTGACTGTACGAATATATGTTCTGGTCCTTCACATCCTTTCTGTAGAGACAATTTTTAGTGCTGTTCCTTTTTTTTTTCCCCAAGAGATGCGTAGATGGTGGTCTGGAGAAACAGAGAAGAATGTTTGTCTTCAGCCCTGACTCAAAATATTCTTCTAGTTTCACACAGGAAGCACAAAACGTACCTCAAGATAGATCAAAGACATGTTTATGACTGTAATAAGTGTTGGTTTTGAGTAAGAAATAAGTGTTCTTACTGTTGCTTTCATCTTCTACAGGCAATCCTGATGACTTCAGCTTAGAAGATGCATTTGGTAATTATTACACTCTTGCAAATTTTGGGAGGTAGGTGGGAAAATAGTGGCTGCTCTTTTGACTTGTTGGTTTCTGAGTATCACTGCATGACCAAGCATGACACCTTTCCCACATACGGTTTGTTTAAACCTCAGTGGAGCAATTGATCTATGAGTATGTCAAAGTGTTGACCATGTAGACCTGAAGTTTGTCTTTGGGAACACTCAGGGATTCCCCTTAAGGGGAAAGTGTCTTGCTGTATAGACTTGATCTTGTGTTTTTCACTGTATAGACATAGGCTTACATTTGTCCTTCAAGTATCTTCTGAACAGTGTATTAAATTATATTTAAACTTTTTTTTTTTTAACCATCCCTGGCAGAAACTCCAAAGAAGCCTCTTCCAACTAAGAAGTCACCGCCATCAGATTTAGGTGAGATCGAATTGGCTTGTAATGCCTTTTACTGTGAAGTCAAGTGTAGTTGTACATACTAATTTGAGAGCCTGAATTTTTCAGTTTAGTGGCACACAGAGTTGTGATATTTCTATAAAAGAAAGCAGTTCCCTAACAGCAAAAGGATTTCTGCATTTTGGAGTCTTCTGCTAGTGCTTTCACAAATTTACTTTGTCATTTCCCAAGCTTAAAGACACTGTGAGAATCCCTTCTGTTGGCTTTCAATCGGCGTGTTTTGAGCTGGCCCTTGGTATGTACCATGATCACCAAAAGCGGCATGTAGTTTGGCAGATAATGCCTGGTAACTGTGGTGCTTTTCCATGGGCCACTGTTGAATGACCATGCCATTATATTCTTGGTTAAAACATTGTGAGGTACATTTTGTGTAAAAATGGTATAAAACTAGTTCAGTTTTTTCACTACATTTAAAACTTACCTTCTTTCTTTGTAGATGAGTTCAGCTTGGAAGATGCTCTTCAGCCTGGTGAGTGTCATGTTTTCCTGGATGCTGCTCAGTGGTACTTGGTGCAATGTCTATCCATCCTGTATTGCCTAAATGTAATAAGGGCATTGAGTTGATTAAGGTAACAAACTGCAAATAAAAATTACAGTCCAGTTATGTTTATTTACCTTCATTTTTAAGGATCTGGATCCCAAAGCCTGCATGTATTTCACTCATTTCTTAGGCAAGTCCTACGTGTTTCATTGCTATGTTTTCACTAGATGGCACTAATTTCATAAACTATTACTTATGCAAGTAGTTTTTAAATCAGAACTAATCTCTTCCTTTCCAGGAAGTAATTTTAGTAGCACAAAGAAACATTCATCTGTTGGAAATAATATGAGGGAAGGTACTCTTTCTAATGTACTTCAGCTGTGCAGTGTAGACAGCATTAGAACTTGCACTCAGCCAGTAAAAGGTGCATCCAGTTAGGCAGATAGTGCACAGTAGCTTCTCAAGTACCATCACTAGACCTGTTGCAGTAGAGACAGATTTCCTAACACGGGCCATGCAGCTATAGGACAGTAGCACTGTTTGCTGCTCTGTTTGATTTAGCCCTATGAAGTTTTGTCTCTCTTAAAGCAGTCTATTTCCAGTTGCTGACATTTTTGAAAACAGTTGGCTAATTGAGAAACAGTTGGCTGAATGAATCAGATGGTTCAAGTGGGTGAAGAGAGAGGGTCCTTTATAGGATGGCAAGCCTAAGTTCGTGTCTCAGAACTGTGCTCTAGAGGTGCCTGCCTCTTTCCTTGAATATGCAGAGAGCCTAAGGAGTCCTGATCTAACTTGTTCTAGAGCTAGGAGGAGGCAAGACCACACAACATCAAGAAGAAGTAGGGTACAGTTGAAATGGGCCACTAGATTGGTTCAGCTGTTGGTGAAAACACAGTTTTAGAAAATCACTACTGGTGTGTTAATTTAATGTGGACAACAAAGACTGTGACCAAACACTACAGCAATAATTGTTAAGACCTCTTAGTCTCCTATTTTGTGGCAAGGTAAATGAAGTGTCGTTGTGGGGACCATATTTATAGTTCTATTATGTGTATTTTGTATTTTTTTTCTTTTTTTTTTAAGTGAGTTACCAACCTTTTTTATTGGTTAAAATCTGTTAGTTTTAAAAAAGGAAACAGCTGAGTAATCTATACTTGGTAGAAAAATTTAAAGAAGTTGAATATTTGAAATTGTATGTGCAAACTAAAGTGCTGCATAACACGTTGTGAGTTCTTCTGTATATGTTCAGTTATAGCAAGGGTCTGACATACAGGCTAATGTAGCAGAAACACTGTTAGTTGCATTGAAGTACAGTGTTTAACCTGAAGTAACCAAATAAATACAGCATTAGCTAATGAAAGGAAAGGAAAATCACGTAGGGAAGATAGTCTTTCAAGGTCACGATATACTCTGCTTTTAGTGTCTTCACATTAGTAACTTTGGTCACTTTATTTGTCTACAGATGACCCCAAGCCAGGTCCACCTGCAAATCCGAGAGATGCTGGTAAGACTGACCTAACAGGGATTTCTGAACAGTCGAAAAAAAAAAAAGTATTTGTTAATCTTTCCTAGTCCCTTAAAGTTACTGCATTGTAGTCTGCTTTTGAACTCATAACTTTTTTTCTTTTTTTTTCTTTTTTTTTTTTTTTCTTCCTAAAACTCTCTTTTATGTGTAGATAACCCCAGGCAAGGACCACCTGCACATCCTAAAGACACTGGTAAGGCTTCTAGCACAAACTCCTGGATTGTGATATGGGTTTACTATCTCAATTAAGCTTAGAATAATTATTCCTTGTTAGTTAGCTGCTATGTATGTCACGTGTCACACTGGATAAACACTGAAGACTGAGGAAAAATTGTCTTGCAAATAAGCTTTGCAGCAGTTTTGAAATTCCATAACAAACCTGTTGAGTCACTTTCACTTAAAAGCAGGATGGTGTGGGGAGGAGGAAGGATGGGACAGAGTGTGTGTGCTTGGGGCAGTGCTGTTCTAGGCTGCCAGTGGTGGAGCACCTGTGTATTGGATTGAGACCTTTCATCTTTACAAACTGAATCCCTGCTACTTGTGCTAAAAAGTAAGTAGGACCTACCTGTGATCTGTAGTCTTAAAGCATCCAAATTTAAGATAAAGCTCGAAGTTAAAGGGGTTTTTTAAAGTTTTTTTTTAAAGGCCCCAGTTAAGAAATACAATTATTTTGTATTTGAAAGGTAGGCTTAAAATACATGTCCTTCCCTGCCTGTTGTGCTTTAGAGGTCTTCTCTGTCTTTGCCTAACTTGGAACAAAACAGATTCAGATGGATGCAGCTGTGATGATGCTATTATCCAGGAATATGGTGTTAAAGAGTCCTTACTTGGAATGCAAGCCCTGGTTCTTGTTCTTTCTCCTGCCTGATTTGCAGCAGATATTTGAATTCAGGTCTTGCATGCCTTAGTACAGTGCTTTTGCCACCCAACTAGAGCATCCTCTGATGCAATGCTTTTAGTTTTGCTGCTTGAAACAGACTTGCTTTGCATAAACTAAAGATTCATTTTGGCAGCAGAGGGAAGGAAAGGAACTCGGTCCCCATGAGGTAGGGTCCAGTAGAAATTGGGAGGGACTGGTTCAGTGTCCTGCAATAAATCAGAGGAGAGAATTACATTTGGATCTTCTCGTTGTCAAGCAAATACTGTAGCCACTGGACTATGGCATGTTGAACTCTTTTGTCCTTTATCTGCTGTGCTGTAGAGGTTCAAAAGATTGGTTGTGGCTTAGAAACCCAACTTTGAAGAAACATTCGCAGCTGCAGCCTTGGAAAGAAATGGCCCTTTCCTGCCCATGTCCTTTTTCTGCTTTAACAGGATAGTGAGACTTGGGTTGTTCCTGTTAAGTAGCTCACAGGACTTTTTGCTTGCTTAGCCTGTGGCTTGTGCAGTACTACCTGCTCTTGGACATTGACTTCTCTCAGTTGTTCAGGAAGTTCAGAGGCAGCAGTGCTGATATCAAACTATATAGTGCCAAGCTGAAGGGGCTTGAGTTTGGGAGGGCTTTTGAAATGTGAACATGTGACTATGATGCTGAGCCTAAAACCACCACAAACTCAAGCTGAACAACACAGAGAAAGCTTCCATGTCATTATGTGCCTTGGGGTGTCTTTTCATTGAATTTAAAACATGTAATATTATTTTTATTTTTTATAGGCACCTTTGATGATTTAGATCTAGCCAATGGCAAGTTACCAGGAGGAGGAGGTGATGGTAGTGGCAGCAATGGTAAGGTAGTAGGTTGTGCTTCATATTGATCCTGAGCTTTGATCATAGAATCACAGAATGGTTTGGGTTGGAAGGGACCTTAAAGATCATCTAGTTCCAACCTCTCTGCTATATGAAGGGACACATTCCCCTAGGTCAGGTTGCTCAAAGCCTCATCCAACCTGGCCTTGAAAACTTCCAGAGATGGGGCATCCACAACTTCTCTGGTCAACCACTAGTGCCTCACCATCCTCATAGTAAAATATTTCTTCCTTTCTTTGATAAAAGCTTGCTCACAAGATGGTTAGCATGGTTTAACTTGTAACACCTTTGGTTTTGATGTCTGAAACTTAAGAGCATACCTTCCAGTTCAAAAGCAATGTGTTCTGTCTCTGCCAAAAAAACCACAGATAATTAAGAGGTAAAACTGGTCTGGGAACTTTCAATGATTTTTACTGTTATACTAAGAAAGATAAGTTTTAAAATTGAAATGTGAATGTGGTGCCTATTTCAAAATTCACCATGAATTAAAGGCATCCATATGTTATTTTCAGATCTTCTGTGACATATTCTCAGTTTCTTTTAATTCTTGTGGTTATGAACCCCAGAGGTGGGCCAGAAGAGGATCCACCTTATGTTCTCAAAGATTGCATCTGTCCCACAGGATGAATTGGTCCTTAGACTTCCAAGTGATGTAGGTTATATCTACTCTGAGCAGTATAAAAACCAAAATTGTTTTGAGTATTGTGTCATAGCTAATTGTTATGCTGCAGCTCAGTACACAGGTAGTCATTGGGACCAAGCTGCAGCAATCATCATTAGGCTGGGGTTAGTCATCCCTCCATGTGTTATTGCAACTCTGCAGTCCATTTCCAGGTCAGAGTTAGGTTCGCTACCTTGATGTGGTGTTGAGACATGAAACAGTTGTCCCAGACAGAGATTACTGATGATAATTTTTTGGGAAGCTTTCACCTTCCAAAGTTCCTTTGGGGCAGTAACTTGGAAATTGGCAAGGGCAAGAAGCATCTGTTGAGACTTGAATGGTGGTTTCATCTGCACAGGGTTCCTGCTTCAGTGGTTCAGGTTGCATAGTGCCAGATAAGGATAGTATTTACAGAACTTCTGTCTTGTTTGCTAAGAGATATATTTAGTAAATGAAGCTAGGGTTTTAGGAACAAATAGTTGGTTCCATGGAAATACAGCTGAATGCTACACTGCACTTATATGCTGTTCATTTCCACTGAGTATTCTGTGGTGGTGGGCAAGTTGGTTAAACCAGATTTCACAGATGTGCTGTGCTCATTTTGTAGAAGTGCTGAGCACCCAAAGTGCAGTTGGTATCACCATGAGCTGTGCTTTGAAAATAGAAAGCTTGAGTGCCTGAGTACTTCGTACTGTATGGATATAGATTTTTAATAAATTTTCTTCAGCAAATGGCTTGTAATTTTGCATGATTAATTGACAAAAAGTTGACAGTTATGATATGACTGTTCTTTAGACATGTAAAATCTAAACCTTCTGTTTATTTTTACAGAACGAAGGGGTGCAAGTCCAAATAATGGTGAAGAAGCTGAGGGTAAATGCATAAATTCATGTGTATAGTGGTGTCTGCATGTCGGAATCTAGTTTTCATGCTTTTTTTTCTATATTGCTAATACTGTGCTGCAATGGTCACTTCTGGTACTGGCTTTCATCATAAAAACTTTAATGGAATCTAGAATTCTTACTTTAAAGCTCTGCTTTCATAATTCTTTAAAATATCTATGTTGCAAATGATTACAAATGTTAAGGTCTCAGAGATGCTCATTTAGTGGTTCATAGATTGCATGCATACAACTTAGATTTGGCTATGGAAGGGTAGCTTTTTTTTAATTAGTGGAACTTAAAACAGGCATGCTTAAGTTGCTTAACCATAGGCATTGCTAAGAAATCAATGGTTATAAAATCAGAGTATTTCTTTTTCATTATTCACAGAGTTGATTTTGTTGTTTACTACAGTTTCATGTAATAATTTCAGTTGTTTTTTGCAGGTGTTCACAGGGTTTACTTTGAGACAATACAAGTTTGACATTGCTTTCGATTCTGAAAAGTGTATACAAACCTATATTTTTTTTTCTTTTCCAGCTTCTCAGGGAGCAATAGCTGGAATTGTAAGTGCTGTGGTTGCTACTGTAATTGGAGCAGTATCTAGTTTCATTGCTTACCAGAAGAAGAAACTCTGTTTCAAACAAAGCGGTAAGAATTCTAAATTAGTTTTGCATTCTACTGTCTAAAGAGATTCTTTTTTGTATTTTATATAGGGGCTAGTAATTGATCTTATGCATGACATAGTTTTAATAGCACAGTGAATTTGTGTTTACAGGGCGTAACCTCTCTTACTAGTCATCTGAGACAGAATGTCTGAAGAATGCATCACCCAAAATTTAGACTTTCAGAAGCAGACAGACTTAAGGCTTTGCATTTCTTAAAATAAAAAGGGTGAGCAGGAGAGACTGCAAGAAACCATTTCTTTAAGGAGAATTGAGGGGAAGTTGGGAATTAAAGACTATTTTCACACTGGAAAATGCCTTGTCATTTCTAATTTTGGAAATCTTGCCTTTGTGCATGTTTACCTATTAGGTTTCTGACAACAACCCAGATGTTCATCCCCAAATGATTCTTTCTTCTGCGGTTGTCTATTGTTTTCTATCTACTTCCTTTCCACTGAATAAGATATAACTTGGATCAGAGAACTTCGGGAGTACTGTGGGTGATAGGTGGGGCAGAAGCTTTGGGTTTGTCCTTTCTAGGCTTTCTGACTGGTTGGTGAAGGGAGATGATAAAGCAGCCATCCAGCCAGGTACTGCTGTTTTCTAATTTGGGAAGTTTGGAAACTGACTAACTTCTACCATGCATGTTAAAATTAACGTGCAGGCAACACAAGGGAAACTCAACTACTATCAGTAGCCGATTTTCTTCAGTGCTGTTTCTTCTCTCAAATGATCTCTATTAATCCTCAACTTTGAAGATAAGATAATTTGGATGCTAAACGTCTGTTTGTTTCCCAGCAGATGAAGAGAATGTGAATATGGATAGCCATCGGGGAGCGCAATCTGAGCCACCTGGTAAGAGAAGAATCTAGAGGGAAGATCAAGTTTTTGGTGGGGATCCTATTAAATGCACTTTGTTGACATCTAACATAGAGGGAAAAATCACCTGCACTGTTTTATTTTGTTTTGTTTCAAAAAATAATGTTTGTAAGTACCATGACAAGTAACTTAGAACTGAATTAAGATTTCAGTTCTGATAAGATGGCCACTCTTCTCCAGTTTTTTATTCTTTGACCAGATTGGTTTGTTGCCTTGAGGAGTCCTTGAAATACAGGAGCTTAGAAAAAGTAAATAATTTAATTTTCTCTGAAAAAGTAATATTAAAGACAATTATGAAAACACAAGCCTACTCCTTCAGTGTGATACATAACTGCAATTAGCTGACAGGTGTTTTATTAGTGTATGTTGTGTCTGGTTTAAATCTGATACCTTTTTTGGTTGTAAACCCATATAGAACTCTGCAAGAATGTATATTAAAAATGTTAATAGTGTTTGGGCAGAGATGAAACTACACTGGAGGCAAGTGGTGAACTTACTAGCATGTTGTAACCGAAACATTGTCTGTTGTGAACAGAGAATGATTCTTGTATGAAAGAATAATTAAATAACAAGTCTTTAGACAATGGTGACAGCTGCAGAAGGATCTCTTTTAAAGCAACAAAACCCCTAACAACCTCCCCTTTCCAGATATGGTTGTCCAGGGCAGTTGGCTGATGGAACAGGTGATTAACTCCAAGAAAGCCATAGATAGATCTGGGAAACAGTGTAGGTGAAAACTTGTCCTTCTAGCCCTTGTGACTGGTCAACAAAGGAAGAAGCAGTACAACCTCATGCTGAAGTTTGTTGGGTGTCTTTGAAACACTGAAATTTAAAATCTCAAACCAGTATAGATTTGCAATATATTCTTTTGTGGGCTTAATCTAAAACCCGCAGAACTATTTCTGTTTTTTTTAATAATTTAATGAAAAAAAAATGATGCCTTATTTCTTTCAGGTATTTCATCAGTTTGCTAAAAACTTCTATCTGGCTCATGATCATCTTTATAAACATTTTTCCTTTAAGCTGTTAAATATATAAAACTCTCAAGGAGAAAACATTTACTTGTGACTGGCTGTTGAAGTCAGGACTGGAGATAGGCAGGTATCCTCAATTCAGATATGCATTAGTGAGGCAAGCAGTATTGTTCCAAGACCTCTACCAATGGCAGTTCACCTATGAGTTGGAGTAAGGATGTGCTAAAATTTTGATCAAGATTCACCAGAACTCAGTTTGAAATGCATCAGAGGATGCATACTTTATATTATCATAAATTATCACTCCTGCCTACATATTGATGTCATGTTAAATCCCAAATTTCATACCTCTGTTATATTTTACAGGCAAGCATAAGCACATTTTGAGCCAAGAAACTGGGCAACCATGTTCAGCGTGGTGCCACTCCTGATCTAGGTTCTGGGAGTCAGCAGACATTAGGTCTGCTTTTGGTTATATAGTGTTGATGTACCTATGTGGCTTATAGTTAGAAGAAGACTTACATTAAGTCAGGTCAGATGGCATGGCAGAACAGGTTTGCATTTTTATAAATTTATGTAGACTTATTTTGACTTCTTGAAGATGTAGATAATCGAGGCTAGCACTTTCTTACAATAACCCTCTTTTTCCATCAGCTATGCAGACTGTTCTCCATTTCATTTTTGCATCTGCAGAACTACAAGTCAGAAACTGGATGTTGAGTTAATACTGCAGGTCTAGATTGCTGCACAAATCTAGAAGGATGTGGTTATTTGAGTGAGAAACCTGGGATGTAACATCCCTTCGTATACTATGTATTGGCTTCACAGAATCAAGCTTCTGCTTACCTGAATTTATCCCATAGTTTCAAATGTCTGTTGAAAACCTCTGTTGTCCACACATATTGTTACATAGTAATACATAACTTACAATATATACTAACTTAGGGTGCTAATCTTGAGTTGTTTTTCACTTTTTAGTTCAGCGCACACTCCTGGAGAACTAAATTAAAGAAAGCGTGATGAAGAACAGACCATTGAAACTGGATAGTCAGCCTGCATTCTGCCTGGAAAAAAAAAGAAAAGAAAAGAAACTAAAAAAGCATAATGTAAACAGCAGAGTCTGAAGTTGCATGAGAAAACAGGTCTTGTTTGAAACACCTCTGGGAGTGTGACTTAGACCCAAGTACTTCTGTATGGTTAGCCCTGTGAAACATGTTGCACACCCATATATGGCCTTAATGACAGGAGTGCAGAAGTATGTTGTGCCTTTACATTCTTTCCTTTACTCCTGTGATAAATGGGTGTGTCTCAAGTGCATTCAGTATGTTTAACTTTTCCTTACCTCTCCAAATCCAATAAGCAATTAATGTTTTGTTGCACCATTGCTTTCAGGCAGTGCAAACATTTATTTTTTTTAATATCCTGTACACAGTGAGTATACCAACCAAACAACATAGTATATGTTGTGGGCACCTGAAAGCAAATAGCTCACTGTGTGTGGATAATGGATCTGGGTGTGGGTGCTGCTGATACAATCTGTGTAGCTGCCTGGGTCAGCCACCAGGGAAAAGATACTTGTTCTTGAGCATCCAAGAGACAAAAATTCAGAGTTTTGTTTTTGCATTTTTTTCATTGCATCTGTCTGGTACAGATTCAGAACATTCAAACTAGTGTAGAGAGACCCTTCATCCTTTCTGGCTCTTCCTACTTAGCAAGTACTGAGCTGGTCAGCTGTGGAAAAGCCTGATTTGCAAATCTGAACTATAATTGGATAATGTAAGTGAATGCCCCATCCCTGGAGGTGTTCAAGGCCAGGTTAGATGAGGCTTTGAGCAACCTGGTCCAGTGAAAGGTGTCCCTGCCCGTGGCAGGGGAGTTGGAACTGGATGATTTGAAGGTCCCTTCCAACCCAAACTGTTCTATGATTTTGTACATCTGCTGAGACTGATGTTTGGCAGTTGTCTGAATGTTTGTAGATGAAGTATTGGGGAGTGGGGATTAACATCTTAAGGCTTCCATAGCCAAAAACTTATCAGAAAATAATGTGATACTTTGAATTCAAAAAGTGTATTGTAAGCACTTAAAAGGCAGAAACAGTACTGCAACTTGGAAGTGCATAACAGCAAGACTGACCAGAACCTAGACTTGCTCCACAAGCATCCATTGAACAGTATAAATAACATACACATGAAGAATGCTTTTGGACTTTTGAAGGATTGCCGTCAGGATGAGGACCAATGATTGCATCCTCAACTGAAAGCACTTGTGAGCTTTGCTGTGGCTCTTGAAAACCACAGGAGGGTTTCAAGGATCTGTGGAAACCTTGAAAACTGTGCAACTCATAACAGTTAAAGGACTAAGTCTGGAAAAATAACTAGTTCTGTGTGGAAGGAATAGTCTGACCAGTTCTGTTGGCTTTCATTCTAATTTTTTCCAATTTTCCTGCAATTTTACAAAATGTGTCTTACTAATGTGCTTTAGCCACCTGGCAAAGTTCTACAGAAAGATGACATTTCATGGAACATCTTAGAAGTCATGATGAATTTGGATATTAAACGTGTAAATATATCTGTGCATTCAAATATGAGTGTATGCCAAGGATAATTCATTTAAGAATTTCTTGTACATGTTTCTTAGCTTGCAACAAAGCTTTACACTGATTTTAGTAGTTTGTTATGGAATTAATTTGTAAACCTCTTTTTGCCCTACTTCTGCTTTTAGTATAGAAGTGTTAAAACCTTGAAGTGTGTTTGAGGATGGAAAAGTGATTTTTATATAAACATTTGATCTATGTAAATACAAATAAATGAAATGTACTGCTTACCTGCATGAATAAACAGGTATCTCATATCAGTGCCAAAGTGTAGAGAAAACAGAAATAAGCCAGTGTTTGTTAGGGATAGAATGGGGGCAGGGGCAAGATCGAACTAGCTTTTAGCTAACCAGGCTCTTGAATACTTTCTTCAGATTTTGCAAGCCTAAAAATTACTTATTAAAACCTCCTATCAACACTGTGATTTTTCTAAAAATAAATTAAACACCAAAAAAAGAAAAGTGTTTATGTATTTATGTATTTTCCTTCTTAGTAGCTCTAGAAATACAAAAAACGTTTGTGTTCTACCAGAGAAGCAGTCTTCAAAGAGATTTTCTCTTCCTGCTCCATCAGCAATATAGGTTTATTTCTTACATGCATTTTAATAATTTTAGAAGGAAGTTGGCCAGTAGCAACAAAGCTGTGAGCTGCTTTCAGAGGTTGCTTACCAGTGTGAAGTGCAGAGAAGACATCTATCTCTAAGGGCAGGCATGGCTTTTGAAGAAGAACACCTGGATTTGGTAACACAGGATCTACTGAAAATATGGGTAAACTTAATGGTGTTTGCATTGAGAAGGAGGAAGGACTGGCTGCTGCTACCTAGGAAGAAGAGGTTAAAGAGAAGGCTTGAAGATTCAGGCTGTTCCTTTGTAGTGAGCAAGAAACTGCCAATTTACAGGTTTCTGTTACTTATCTGTGGATAAAACGTGGCAGTTGGCTTATTTTTCAGTTGCTGTGTTGCTGTTTGCCTCACTACCCACTGAGTCTGATCTTGTGCCTTCCTAGCTCAACTGCTCTTGCATTGTGTAGCTAAATACCTTAAATATCATTAGTTCTCACATTCACTGGGTCAAGAAACATGATCAGTTAACAATTAGTCATCACTCTACTGAAGTATTTTTTTGGTTATCTCCCACAGATCAGCTGCAGCCCATCATAGCCTTATAGGCTGTTAGTGACTTTCGGATCCCAATGCAGGAATTAACATTCTAGTATTCTAGTTTCCATACTGGTTTCAGTCAGACTCTGCAGTGGGATGAAACATTTCTGACCTTTCCGGGCCCAAACTGCAAGTTCACTCCTGGTGACATACCTTCACCATGAAACTGAGTTTAAATGGATGGCAATGAAAAGTTCTGTCCTGTACCAGTGGCACACCCTCTTCAGTTCTGGTTTTCTCCAGTCTACCTCCTTTGAGGAGGAGGAGGACTTACTTTCAGTAACAGGAGAAAAAAAGCAAAGCACGATCTTCTTCTTGTAGTGTATCATGTCACTTTAGCTTCTACAAGGGAGCTGAGGAGACAGTTTAGTTCATCCTAATTGTCAGTGAAAGGACTGCTTGAAAAATGCTTTGATGGTTTTCAGATGTGATGTCCATTTCAAATACTTACCCAAACTTATCCCAATGAATTCATTGGGCTGCGGAAATGAAAGCAAGTGATTCTTAAGCATGAAATCTGGCAGCTCTTTACTGTAGCTCTTATTTGTGCTCATTTCACTATCTGTGCCAAATCATGAATGCAAAGAAAACTCTTTTTAGTGCACTCAGCTTTCAGTGTACATTGAGCTGAATTACACTCCCAGTTGTGCATTTCGGTATTTTTCTCGCTAATTATTTTTAGGCCACTATCTAAACCGTACTTTTCTCTGTATGTTTTTCACATGATAAGATGATGAAACAAACCTTAACCTTTTCATAAACTGAAGAGATTATTTTCTTTTTGCTCTTTTCTGTTATGCAGATATAAAAGACACATTTGAAAGAAAGTGAAGAGGTGATTAGGAATAGAGAAAGGACTTGAATGAAGCAAAAATACGTTTTTTTTCAAGCCCTTGTGTTTGGAGTACTTTAAGAATCACAAGGATAAAATACTAAAATGCATCTTCTTCCATCTGCTTGTGAAAAGCCACTGAAGTTTTAGCTAGCGTGTAATAATTGTATTTTTCCATTGACAAGGAATTGTATCACTGATTCGGTTGTGTATTTGGCTTACATTTAAATTATGTCATTACCAAATGTTTCAATATTTTAATTAAGATGCTTCCATTTCTATGACAGAAGATGAATATTGTAGGATATTAGTGGCTTTGCCCTGTAGTTCTAGTGTATAATTTGGTTCTTTCATCTCCGATAGACTCATACAGCAGGTCATCTGTGCCAAAGAGAGCAATGTCTAACCTCTGCCCACAGGAAGGATGGGGCTGCAACTGTGGTGAGGTGTGACTGTCCTCTTCTTCTCTCCTAGCTCATCTCATCTAAAAGAGGCTGGATGGGCTAAAAGTATATGGTGCAGAGAACAGAGAGACACACTGGCTCCATTTTTCCACCCATTTGCTATTTCTTAAATGTATGTTTTTTTCTTGAAAGAACAAGTGAAAAAAATTAGGCAAGTCATCCACCTTGTCAGATGAATATTAGGCAGAACTTTGTTTTCCCTTTAAATAGAAAAAGATGGGTCAATGATTCACCAAAGCAATAAAACTGCAATTTATGGTCAGGTCTAAGACCTTACATTTGTTTTGAATATATAATATTGTTTACTTGATATCTCAAGCAAGCAGTTGCACATCTTTGACAGAGGCAGCTGAGATTAAGAAGTTCCTGCAAAGTCCCAAGAACAGAAGTGGGATAAGTATTTGAGTCATCCTGACTCCAACGCTAGGTCAACTCCTTCAGTTTGCCCTTCCTGTGCCGCCTTCTTATTGTTTTTATTTAGCTAGACAGAGCAGTAGTTGGCTTCAGAAGAACTAGACATGGAGTACATAATCTTCAAACTTAATTTAAGAATCTTCAATATCCCAATGAACTAGTATCAGCAGACGGGGTGAGATAAAGCTTTTGGGAAGACTTCACTTACAAGAACAACTGTTTTGAAGTAAAGCTGCTGAACGTTTGTGAGCTGTTTGGACTTGCCTGGGACTATTACGTAGCCTTGCTAACTTTCCTATTCCCTTCAGGCTATTTGATCACTGATAGGGATACTAACACGTGTGTGCCTGCTTACAGTTATTCTGGAAAAAAATAAACAGTGGACTTATGTGCCTGCTCACTTAATGATATAATCCTTGTTCTAACTGTCTGACAAAGTCGCCTCTTGAATCTAAATGTCCTTAAGTCTTCTGAGATAGAGCATTTGGCCCTGACAAGGAGAATGATGATACATGAACTGAGATTTAGAGCTTCTATTACTAGCTTAAAAATAGTTAAGCCATGTGATACACTAAACCAGGCCTTTATAAACCACTCTGCTGGTGCAAATTTGGGGCTGGGGGGGAGGAGCTGGCCTCCTTGAACATCAAGCTTCTCAAAGACCCAATGTCACTGGGTTTTATCAGTACAGTTTATGTATGTTGTGTCAGTTTTCTTATAGTTAGCATAAAAGCATTAATTCAGTGCACACACTGTATTGTATGTTCTAGGTAACTCAACAGGAATGCACTTGGGGCCTGCCCGTGCCCCACATCTGACTGGATCACCCAGCAACACCACAAGCGTGCAGCTTGGCCATTCATGGTAGCAGCGTCCTGAGCATATTTGCTGCCCTGCTCAAAACAGCACTGACAAAAACGCCTGGAGCTTACCCCCCAGCAAAAGGGAGCACATACACCAGTCTCCTTGCTGGTGCTGGGCACCTGTGTGACAGTGGCAGTCCAGTTCAGGAAACAAGTGCACTGGCACACGTGTTTCCTAGGGAGAGGCTATGACAAAATGGCATTTAAATCACATCAGTGATTTTAATATATGGTCATGTATGGATGGATGCGTGGGGCTTTTTCAGTGTCCAAAGCTTTGTGTTCTTATGCTTGGACTGTGGTGTGGCACTATCTGAGATCTGTCTCCACATAGGATATCTGTATTTAAAAATACATTTAGATCAATGGAAAAAATTGTGGACAACATTTACCTTGTGGAGATAAGCATCTCCCAGGGAGCTGCACATGCTTCAGTTCAGTAGTCCAACATGACGTTTTAAGTTTATAAAATTAGGGGTTTCTGTCATACCTCTGTAGACAATTCCCAAGTCTCTGCAAAGCAGACTCTTGGCCTCCACTTCCCTCACACGGTGGCTTGAGTTTGCTATTAGGACTCTGACAGGGTTGCCTTTATCAGCAGTTGTTGCTCGGCCAAAACTGAGCCGGGAAGCAGCGCTTTGAAGACAGAATATAACCAAGGGGTTTTTTTTCAGTACGCTTCAGCAAAGACCGGTCTCCTCTGACAGGATACTTGAGCTCCTGCAGCACCACACCCTGCTTTGGAGGTGAGGATGTCAAACAGGTTGGCTTTCCCTCCGGGAAGGAGGTGGTTCAGGGTGTGCCGGCTCCCTCCTCATTGGGTGCTGCTGCTGGTGCCCTGGCTCTCTGCGCTCCCCACCTGGGCGATAAATAGATTCCTTAGAGGGCGGGTGGCACCTACGGTGCTGCTCATGGCTTGGCCGTAGCGTGGTGTCTGCTTTCATTATCTGTCTTGTACTAGAAGAGGTTTTCAGGGACTTCTCTTTCTTCTGCAGTGCTTGAGTGTGATGTTGAGGGAACTCCTTGGACAGAGCCACTGATTCCGAGTGTCTCCCTCAAACCTTGGCACTGCAGTTGCAACATCTACCGTCATCACTTGGGAAAGAACAACCAGTGCAATCAAGGCACTGCATAGAAGACCATGGGGAAATTCAGAAGTATCCTTCTTTTGTGTCTTGGCTTTCTTCTAGTCCATGTAAGGGGTAAGTGACCTTTGCCTTGGCTTACTTCTAGAGCACTATTATTAAAAATAAAAATTAAAAAAACCCCAAAAACCTAAACCTCAACTCCCTAAAAAAAATATGCTTGTTTATTTAGAAATGCTTGTTGGTGTTATTTTTGTTGCTATTGTTTCATGAGAAGCATTCAAGAGTGTTTAGATAAGTACTTCTGCAGTTTCTAGAGAGATGTATATCTTTTGGATGATCGCTCATAACACCGATGCTAGTTGGAGTTTGTTTGTTATAATTTCTTATTTTCTCTTTAGTGTTACTCCCCTAAAATTATTCACAAGCTTGGACTTGAGCATAGACTTTTTAAATGGCAGCTGAAAAATTACAGCTTAAAACCTTAAAGTTTCCAAAGAGATCTTTAGTCAAATACTAAATTCATGTTTTTAGAGCTTTTCTTGGTTGTTGATATTTTTAAACATATTAGTTGCATTGTAAAAACAAATTCTGATTCAGTTTAAAGATGCTCATGCTTTCATATTAGTGTTCATGCTTTAATAATTATAAATTAATAATTTATTAACCTTAGCCAACATATTCCTGAATATATAAAATCCACACACAAGCATACTTTTTTTCATGGATTAATGAAGAATTGAATATATTTTTTACGAATTTTTTGATGAATGAATAACAGCTGAGAAAATGTGGTCCTTTCACTTTGAGTTGGTTTTCTGTATTTGAACATACTTTTAACAAAACATTCTGTAAAACTTTTTTTTATATTAAACCTAATAGGATCATCCTCATGTGCATCTGTCAAGTAGTGTACTTGTAACTTTTTCTTTTTTGTATATTAGCATTACTTCAAAAACTTGTAGTGCAGCATTTGACTGCAGGAGAAGATCAGTCATTAACTACTAGTTCCAGAATAGCTTCTGCTGCTCATCCTCCCACCACCCCTGATTTAAATTGAGTCCTTAGGAGATCTAGCAGTGATGGGCAGTGAAAAAAACCTTGCCTTAAATTACTGCCATAGTTCCATTTTAGCAAATGAGGAATGGTTTGGAGGTCTTCAGCAAGTAATGTGGCATAGAAACAGCAGAGCAGTAGGACTGTACTGGCTTGCCCTGTACGATGTTGTGAGCAGTGATGATTCACACAGTCTCTCATCACTGGCATGCAGACTTTCTTGTTCTGGAGGACTCTCTTATGTTGAATATTTCTGTTCAAACAATCTGAGCATGGGCAAGCCAATTTCCATATAATCTGTCACTTTAATTACAAGGATAGACAGCCTAACCGTTCTTGCTTTACACATGTGCTAATTTGGAGCCTGTTCAAACCTTGCTTTGGGGAAGAAATCATTGCTGAAAGCTCCTGTGGGCTTTGGGGACAGTCTTATGATTGTGGAAACTATTTAATCCACTTTGAAAAGTAAAATGAACTATTTGGAATCTATGGCAACAGACACTGAATTTTATCATCAAAGTATTTACCATGTTTCAGGGGACATTTACGGGAACCACTTCTCTGTTCTAATCAAGACATGACGAGAAAGGCTTGGCCATGCTGGTGAAAAGGTGGTCTAAGTCCTTATGATAGAAATGTCTACGGCATGATCCCCCTTTTTATTTGCAGCCTTAATTCTTATCTAAGCTGTAACCATCTGTGATAGCTTCTAGAAACTACTGTGCCACCGTGACCAGGCCAGATCACATCACTCCCCTCACCATCAAGCATTTCCTTTGTGTCCGTTAGTTAGTTGGCTAGACTACCTTGATGGACACATCTCAGTAGAAGCATGGCATAACTGCATTGCACAAGGAAAGTGAGATCCTGATATAGTTCAGAATCTTACATGCTCACTGAAGTCTTCCATACTTTTATCTACAGTCTTTGGCTTTTGTTATTGCCAAGATTATGCAGGTAACATGAGGTCTCCCATAGAAGTTGAGCTGCAACAAGTAATTGTCTGAGTGGCTTTTGGCACAACCTAAATGAAAGAAACTTCATAGGAACTTCTTCCACTGAAGTTCTTGCTAACATCCCATGTCAGTTACTGAGGCTTGGCTGACGTGTGGTAATTCACCTCTGGCTGTGGCTATGCTGTCCGCTGGGGGTGGGGTAAGGCACAGCTTAGGTCCTATTCCCTCCAGAACTGAGATCATGCACCTGTTTGAAACATATTGTAGGTCCCACTGGGGCCATGCATGTGTTTGTGTACCTGCAGTGGAGAAGCATTGCGACCAGAGGGCTCTCCTCTGCATGCAGCTGGAAAGCAGCTGAGGCTCTCACTCAGACTTGACCGCTCAGAAATGGTCCTCAGGTTCCCAATGTAGATATAATCTATGTATCCATGGTTTTTAAGACCAGCCAATAGATCACATGTTTGGTCAGTAACAAAGATGGAACAAAGGTTGATGATGTTTAAAACACATTAACTTTACTGCATCAAGAATTGTATGCTATGCAGTTAAAACAAACAGCATTTGTTGCTAACCAGGAAAACATGCACCACTGGCCAGCTAAAGCTTACCAAGATATTGACTCAAAACTAATTGTATTCTTGGTTAATTAGCTAGGCACTTTAGAGGAAGAAAATTACAGGCCTGTTTGCATTTGAGACACTGTGTGACTTGCTTTTATGAATAATGTAGTTTTCACTGGAGTTAAAAGGCAGAATGGGAGAGATTAAAAACACTGCTTTTCTTACACTGCTCCATCAAGCTCCAGTCCTCGCTGTCGCTCTGTGTGAGGTCCCTGTGTATGTGCTGAAGCACTCATGGTATGAGTGGAGATATACCAGACAATTAATTCTCTTGCTGCTGGGCACCAAAACTATTTCGCTCCCAATACCAGAGCTGCTATCATCTGCAGGCATGTCAGTGCTATCCTCCAAGGGTATGAGTCAGCTTGATAAATAGACATACCTGAACTCATTGAAACTCTAACAACAGCAGAGCTGTTGCAACATCAGAGCTTGGGAAGAGCTAACAACTGGTGGGGTTACTCAGCTTCTCGGGTACACTTTTCAAATGTCGCTGCCACATTGCAAGCCGGGTAGCAGTTCCCAAACGCCTGTTTTCAGTATGTATTTTTGCCTCATTTGCATCAGCAATTGTCAATCCCTTTCCATCCCACTGAGGGTAATAAACAAATAAATGTCATAATTCTTTCAAGATTAAAAATAAACATGCCATTTTGTGGCATTTTGCCTTGTGATTAGGAGAGAAATTCAGATTGTTTTCATCAGTCTTCCTTCTTTTCCGCAGGAGGGCTGATGTCTATGAATGTTATGGGAAAATAGTATCTAAAATCTTATCTGTAGTACAATATCTCATGAAGGCAAATAGGCCATCCCAATTGAAAGAAATGGCTTGAATGAGTTAGGAAAATATAACAGTCCCACTTTCACTGTATAAGCTTTGCCTGTCATCAGTGCATTTTTTAATACCAGAGGAATTTATTTTAAAAGGTAAATCATAGCAATATATTTTCAAAGGGCAACAATGCTCCAGATTAAATAAAAACAAAAGCTGGAGTAGGCACTAAGATTAGCAGGTAAATTAAAGCGAAGTCCATCCTTCCAACCCAGGTCTTATAACATCAGTGGTGAAGGAACCAGGAGCATACACTCCACACCAGGAAGAGTCCTGAGGTAACAGCAACAAAGCCTCCCAGATCACAATCTATACTGCATCAAAACTGCGACTCTGACTTGCAGGTTACCATCTGCAAGGAACACAAACTGAGATACAAGACAGATATTTCTATTCATAAAGATCATACAGACCGTTTTGTTTCCTGAGCATAATGGTAACAGAAAGAAGACTGTATCTTTGTTCAGAAATCCGACACAGTTTTGACGAGCATTCTTTATGCCAAGACTCTTGATGTCTGTTCCCTCTGAAAGCTAAGCCACCAGATCCTCTTCTGAGTCTCCTGTTTTTGAAGTTCAGATACCAGCTGATGCTCCATCACCCTTTGCCCAGGGTCATTCAGAGAAGCCTCTGTGCAGAGGCTTCTTCAGCTCTGCAAAGGGAGCCTAATTGCTTTTCTCATTTAGTCCAAATGAGATGAGAGGTGGCTCCTGACATTCCACAGAGACTTTGTTGCTGAACAGACCTGCTTGCTAATGTCCAGCAACTCTTTCCAGCATTATTCTTTTCCAGAAAACACGTTCTTAATGGCATGAAACAGAGAAGATGTAGACATTGCTTCTTTGCAGTCTTGCATCTTAAACACACGAGCAATGAATGTGTACGGAACACCCTGACCATCCACATTGACTTGGCGGTATCATTAATCCCCTAGGAGGCAATATAAATAATTATGCTGATGGGTTGCTGTGACTTACGGGGACACAAGATTAGTTATACAACAGAATTTCTGAAACAAATTCAACTCGATCTTAGTTACAGAATAGCTGCGGTTACTGAGATCTGTGCTACCCGTACTGAAGAGCTAAAGGTATTTTGTGTGTACTTTACCAGTGTACTGGGAGGAAGGTGGGAGGAGGAACATTAAAAGACACTCTGTGAGCAGCAGAAATAACAAAGCCTGACACCTGCCTGGCCTTCAACATTATCTTCAGCTCCCTCTGTTGTCTCTGAACTACCAGTTGGGGAAAGTGTGGATTAGCCCGCTGGCACTTACCTAGGCAGAGAGTGGTCACTCAGAGAGCCCACCGCAGCTGTTGCTTCTGCCACTCTGCAGCGTTTCAGTAGGAACACTCATCTAGGTCTCTTGTTTGAGCCTATCTACGTGTACAGTTCTCATGTAATGTGATTGTCATTAAGCCTGACAGCCTCAGACCAAATGGCTGAAAAGGGCTGACAGCTTCATGAACCACACAGGGACAGAGAGAAGCTTTGGCTGAACAGCCCACACCATGGCCTAAGTTTCGCTTCCTCATGACACAGAGCTGAAAATCTGAGTTTCAGTAAGATGTGCAGACATATGGTGTTGCTTGATCCTGACTCCTTTGCTCTGCCTGTAATTTTACAGCACACAACAGTTTTCTCTGCACT